GGTGGGAAATAGGGTTCCTCATCTTTACTTTTATTTTTTTATATAAGCCTATACCTTATAGTTTGAGCAATGACGATGTACATTAGGTGCTAACAATTTCAATATGTGCCTCGTGAGTATCCCCAATATTAATGATTTGGGCCTATAATAAGTATAGTACCGGTACATTATAATAGTCAGTTATCTTCGCTTCAAAATCATTGGAATTACTGTCTATGGAATAAATACTCAACTCTCTCTGGGGAGTCGTTGCAAATCTAGTGATCATTGATGAATAATTAAACTCACCAACTTCATGCTTACTCACATGGGTGGATTATGTACCTTGCCAAAGGACACACTCAGTTGGTCAGAGTTGAAATCGAACCTTCTAATAAGCTTGAGATATAAAATCAAAACCACTGCGCTAAAAGCGGTTTATTATCCACATATAAGTGATCACAAAATAGAATATTAGCATAGTCTAAAAGCCATTACAACTAACAAGTCGTGTTATTTATTGATATATTAGTCCCATATCGATTTGTGTTTCTTTGTCACAATTTGTTTAAGAAATCAGAGAGATTTAACCATGGTATCTTAGCAACGGCATTACCTTAATTACCATCGCTATTGAATGCAGGAGCAATTGAAAAGATGTCCGGTTGTGAGTAAATTGATGTTTCACTTCTTTTATGTGTAAATGACAATAACTACGGTACCTGTTGCATTTTCGCAACGTTTCTAGTCGCGTGGTTGTGTGTGCACATGGTGTTGGACTCGGCGCGCGTTCACGTAAATGTAAACCATACTTGCTGTTTACTTGTTATAAAAATATTATTATTATTATATTATATTTGTTTTAAAAATACAGTAGCTGCAGATGTGTATATATTTATAGTGTATAAGAGACAGATATATATATGGGCCTACAGTCAGACATTTACCTAACATTTTATATTTTTCAGTCGACATAATTTATAATGGGCTTATGAATCGTAAGGTGACTTGTTACCGGTATATTTGAAACAGTGCTGGTTATTAATTGGCTTAGAATTTAATGTGAATGTAAAACCTCTGTCCACATCTCATGAGAATCCACAATATAATGGAGCAAATAAGTACAGGTAGGCCCAGAACTAAATGACCTTTGATAATTAATGAATAGGAAATGAACTAAGGGAAAGAGCGATCATTCTTACGTTTGTTAGCTACGATACTGGTAACCACGGGGCGACGCAACGACGGGTCTCAAGACGAATATCGACATGAATAATTAATAAGGTTTCTAGAGTCCAATCTTTAGAACGCTCAGTCGTAATTATTGTTGTGTGTGGCTACTTTAAAACCGGCGAACCTCAAATTGCTCAAATGAAAACTGTGGTAAGTAAGCATATAAATTCTCATTAAATCTCCTGTTAGAATGATGTAATGCGATATGATTGTGTGTAATGTGATGATCAAGCAGTTTCCTTTCACAGAATGCTATTGAACTCTCTATTTATATTCAATAATCAGAAAATATAAGTAAAGGTTTCATTTAGTGGTGTAGGCCTAGCTAGGCACTTGCGACTAATTTGCCGGATGAGAATGCAATAAGTCCGGCAAGGAATTAATGTCAAAAAGGCTGCCTAAAAAGGCCTACAGTCGAGATTCTATAGAAACCTTTGGTGGGGTAAATGTGTTGTGGAGGGAATTTATGGTTTTATATGCCTTGAACACATTAAAGAACTGCAATTACAAAAGCTTCGGTGGATCAGAAAAAAAACAAAATGTGTAGCAATAACAACCTCAAGTTCGCATCTGACGACAAGGATCCGTGCTTGCCCGACGGGGAAGGGAGTTTCTTTGACTCACAAACGCCGCTATTGCATATTAAGTGAGCCATTCGCTTCTGGGTATGACTAATTATGGAGTATTCTCCCCTACCTCCCCTTTTACTTTTTCGCGGTCACTGTATTGTCTATAAATGGATGCTTCGAGATTTCTTTAAAAAATCACCTATTTCATCGTTTTAATCCCATAGTCGATGAGTGAATATTTTTGTATTTGTATTTCAATCGTACAAATTTATATATGCAATGTCTAACAATTTTCAAAAGTGAAGTAAATAGATAACTATTTTAGCTACTATTTTAACACGCTTGTTAATTTGGAGCTAATCCAACTGGGATTAGGCCGATCGTCATCGATTGAAACAGACGTGTGCCAATAAAAAAAAAATATCCACATAGTCAATTCATAAAAGTAAATAAAAGAAATAGAAAGTAGGCTACATATTATACCGCATCATGAGTGCATCTTCTGTACTCTGTATAGTAACTCTTTGGCTATTTTTCTGTACTGTACAAAGTATGTATTGAAGTAAACCCTTGCCGAACCACTGGGCTCATATTGGCTGGAGCTTATCCCCAGTTTTGTGAAGCCTGATCCCCCCACCCCTTGGGTGGACTCGGGTCCACTGCAGCTTACTCCCAGCATACAAAGCCATCATAGGCCTAACATGTCTTGTCCATTCTCGCACTTAAAAAAATACTCTGGGTCATCCTTTCGTGTTTATTTTTCTTTCACAGCCATATAGTGGTCCCACTCGATATCGTATACAAGCGTCAGTCACCTCTTGTTATGGTCTGCCAAATACTATTTCACAGCTAGAATATAAAACCAGTTATAATAGTTTAAGTTCATATTAAGCTTAAATCACGTTGCTGAAAGTAGCTAATTATCATCACCAGGCCCGTAGCGTGACTTAATTTGTGGGAGGTTCGTTTCAGTGGAAAGTGGACCATTTGGAGACCATTATACAATAACGTAATATTGTTAGCTGGGAAAGCTTAAGAAATGCCGATTTGAAATACTTCTGGTTTGTATGCTCTCCGATACTCTGGAGAACATTGTAAATATATCTACGAATATAAATTTTTCGTTTTTAAATGCGGACATTCTCCAGTTTTTGGGCGGTTCGTCGGAATCACTTGCGAAATTGTTTTAAGTATTTGGGGACTTACTGAGTACAGTATTTGGTACGATAACATGTCAGGTAGGGCAGAACATCACATTATTATTATTATATTATTATATTGGCCCTATCATTATTATTATTATTATTATTATTATTATTCATAATATTGTCAGGGCCAGTGATGTTTAATATAAGGCAAAAAAATGACAAAACATGCGATATTATTTCGCTTCAGGCGTATTTGTTAGAACACTACAGTTTCATGCTTGATTTTGGTGAGTGATAATTATTAAAAGTATGGCCTACTATCATGGATATAGTATTTATTAGATACAAGACCATTCAGATTGTATTCTACTGTTCTTTTAACTCGCGGTAGGCCTACTCCCCCACACCCTCTCCTTTGATTATCTATAGTGTATGGTGTCGTGCTACCCTGTCATTTTGACTAGTTTTTGTTCGTTACCATACCTTTGCTTGTGAAGAGTACACTGTTTCAAAACTAGGTAAATATTTGCAGGTTGTTCTGTTTTGTTTCTTTTTACATCATTCATTTGTTTAACTTTAACCTTCAGTTGGTCTTACTTTAGCCTCGTTAAGGGCGAATTCTATGAACAAAATATTAGACTACAAATAGAAAAACAGTAATGGTCCGTTGTTCAGTGTCAACATGTTCGCGAAAGTGGATTTCTGGGCCTCTAGAAAACAAAGATTTCCTCGTCGAGGTACCCCGGACCTCTGTCTATACAATCTGTTTCTATCACATGGCCACCCCATTCTTCATGATCCTAGATAATATAATACATTTTTATTTGTGTTTTAGATTATGTAGAGTGTGTTTGTTCCAGATTAATTTACAATTATGCTAGATATGCTTTGCAGTACTTTCAAGTAAACAGTCATTCAGCACATTAGGCCCATGAATGGTCGGAACCCGCCGCAAATGAAATCCATATCCGTTGCCACTTTAGGTTTAATTACACGTAGTTTTCTTCACACCGTTATACAATTTCATTAAGATACAATTAATATTAAGCGTACACTTTTTTTTATAAGAACTTCATTAAGATACAATTAATATTAAGCGTACACTTTTTTTTATAAGAACACATTTTATAAGAACACTGAGGTTGAAATTGCTTAAAAATTAGAAACAATATAAGAACAAATTGAGGCTGAGGTAAAATGTCTATGAGATTTTTAAATTAAAAAAAAAAATTATATCTACCTTGTGTGCAGTAGGTAAAAATACCCTCTATAATGCAGTACAGTAGGTGTACAACCTGTCATTTGGGGCCATTTTTACCGAGGCATTTTTTTCTCTGGCCATTTTTTCATGGGGCTTTTTTCAGGGACCATTTTTTCAAGACCATTATTTACTTACATTTGTTATGTTTGAAAAGTCTGTAACATAAGAACAAAATAAGAATATTTTGAGCCTGAAATCGGCCAAAAAATAAGAACACTGAGCCTGAGCAAAATTTTACTGGTTCTTATTTTTTTTAAAAAGTGTATTTCACAAATCAATGGCATATAGCTGTCACTGACAAAAATCCAGGACCCAATACCCCCCCCCCCCCCTCCCGTAATTTTTGTTTTCTAGACGCCCGAAAATAACCTCGAGGCGCTTTAAGCTATCAATTATTTATTTATTTTTCTTTCTTTTTTTTTTTTCCTTTTTTTTAATTTTCAAAAGGGAGGAGAGTCTGACCGGCCTGCCCCTCCTAAATCCGCCCCTGTTAATTACACACTGCCTTATTAAGCAGGTAATCCTTTCACTGAAATTTCATTTAAAATGGTAGGCCTATTAGTGCCATTGGTATAAAATTATTTCTTGAACATGGAAGTTTAAAAATCTGACTGAACACGTTAGGAGAATATAGCAGGCTGTACTTTCTCCAATTAGAACCAGGCTTCGTTTTTTTGTACATCCCCTCTAATTTATTTTCAATAGACAATCCGTAAGCCCACCACAACTAATAGCAGTATGTGGAGGATGAAGACATAATAAACAAACACATCACACGATGTAGGCCTACAGTATGTCGTCTGAATTCTTTGACAGTATTATAAAGTTGATTGCAGTATTAGGCTACATACCGTAACAATCTGTTACATAAGATTCTAATCCATATCGTAACATGCAACCTAAGTCGTTTTTCTATTCAAGCTATATGCATCGAATAGAAAACTAAATATTTAAAAAAATATTTGGTCATTAACATTGTATCATTAAATAATATATAAAACTACAGTTTTATTTATAGTATATTTCCGCTAATATAATATTATCAATGAATTGTATCTCATTGCAAATTATTGCTCTTATTCTACTGTAACTGGTTTTGATGTCAATGAAACTAAAATATACTTATATAAAGAATGTATTTTAATCTTTGTGTGAAAACATACCGTACCAGAAACCCCTATTAAGGAGACAATTGCACTTTTTGGTTACTGTCTCCCACCGCTATTCAGGGGACACCCATATTAAGGGGACACATTTTTTAGTCCCGAAGGTGTCCCCTTAATTATAGGGATTCTACTGTATTAGAAAAATGAGGGAGGAATAACCTCTATGAAATGGAAATCATTCAGTTTATTGGCAACAGTTGCCTGTTTACTGTTGTTTCCTTTAGTTCGTAATCCCTAAGATTTGAATAGATCATCAGACTTTCTCCCGTGTGTTGTTATTTCAAACTTATTTTTGTAAACACTTCAGAGACTAATTTGACAATTGATTGATTTTGCTCGGGTTTTTTTTTTAGTTCTTTTGAAGCACAATTGAGTCTTTGCGTCAAATATGTGTTTCCATAGGGAGGCAATACGAACAAACCAAAACCGAAACCAATAAGATATTATAATTATTAATATAATGTTGTTGGCTATCATCATTATTTTGCATCATGGTCATCATTGTTATGTTGAATTATCTGTTTTAATGTAAGGACCCCAACGGAAATACGGTTTCTGGGTCATTCTTGGTATCTGGCTTGTCTTTGTTTTCACTGTTCGTTTGTACTTTGTATTTATGTATTTTGATACTAAAAAAGAATCAATCAGTCAATTAATCATCATCATCATCAATAATAAAAATATTTATGTATTAGGCTATTATTATGAAAATAATAATATTAATACTCATTAATTTATTAATGATATATCTAATAAAAAATAATGTTAATGATGAGGATGATGATGGCGATGATGATTACGACGAAGTTATCGAACCAATTGACTAGCATAAACTCGAACGTTAGTTCCGATTGAATGCTCCAAACGATGCCTCTGCCCGATCACGTTTACACTCTATTGGTTGATGACCGCCACACTTTTCCACTTTGTTGACTCCCATGAGCAGACCGATCAGCAGTAAAGAGTAATAAATTAGTATTAAACTCATTCGACCTTAGAATGTTCCAATTAATCTCGTGATAAATCATTATTTTCGAACATGTGTCATTATTCTTCGAGATAATTCCTGGGTCAATTGATTTTTTCCTTCCCTTTTATGAAATCGGCTTTATGCTGCAGATAAAATAATAATAGGAAGAGTCTGTAGACTGATTTACACTTTATCCAAAACATTATAAGTGGAAAATATATGATATAGGCTTGAATATAGCCGTCAATCTAACTGTGTGATTATATAATGTGTTTAACTTATTTAATCCTATGTTTCTAATTATTTTTGTCTATTATTAGTGGGTAAAATTACATCGCTTGCGTTTTTGTGTACCGGGGAATTACAAGCTAATAAGAAGCAAAAACAACTGAATTTGCAACACCAGAGTTTGTTTATCATATACCGTTGTGTTGTGGAAATCAGGTTCTAGGTTCTACCTCGCAAAAGACCGTTCTAGTCTTTCCATAAGAGCGCCCCAAATTTCTCTAAGCTATCATCATCTATGGTTATCATCAAAGTAATAAATAATGGAATTGATTTGGTCACATCTACAGCCGTCGAGATTTAGAAATGTCAAGACTTCAACACTTAAAAATTAAAATTATTTCACAATTTGGTAATTAAAGCTTATAAATAATTATAAGATTACTTAGCGTGTGGCACAGCTATAAGAATTGAATGAGTCTCGAGACTGTTATTCTGATTTTAATGGGACGGACACTTTTTTTTTTGGTGGGATGGGGTGGTTTTAAGTATGATATATGAATATATAACCGAAAGGTACACTGATTAATCTCAGATAAGAAAGTATAATACATACTCCAAGTATTGAAATACACACCATCGTGCATCGTGTTGGGATTAAATCAATTTAATGCCGATTATATGCCTTATTATATACATATATATATATATATAGGTCTATATATAGGTCTATATATATTATATATATAAATATAATATGTGATATTATATGTATATATACATATATATTATGTATATCATATTGATATTATCTCTGTTACTTGTTACTTGCAATGCATTGAGAACTAGCGTTGTTCCAAGCATATGCAAGAGTGTGAATCAGTAGTTGGTTGGTGAGAATTTAATATCTGTTCCTTTCCCTCCCCTTATATATATATATATATATATATATTTCTATATCTCTTGCACTTTGTGTCCATTGAGGCTGTATAATTAGTGACATTATGCCACCGTCTTCTGCTACTCTCCATCAATCAAAGAGCCAGTCGTGTGTTTGTACTCTATCTTGTAGGCCTACCTAATTAAAGTGTTTGTAACTTTCGTCTTATCTAATAATACTGTATTCGGTATTGTACACTCTGTTTCACAATGTTTATTGATCTATTTATCCATTTATTTAATTTTGCCAATATTGGCTTTCCATCAATTCAAGATCGCCTTTGATGACGGTATGACGTGAGAGAGTACTTGTAATGCGCGTTTAAAATTCAATGTCTAATATGAACAAATAACGTTAATATTTCAGAACACGCGTTCATTGGGGCTGTAGCGACCATTCTGGTTATACAACTAATGCAAATGCAATCTATCATTTCTCTTAAGCCATCTGTCAAAACATAGAAAATTGCTTATTCGATAAGCCTCTTATTTAAATATTTCCTCCAACTTACTCGATTATTATCTATGTTTTAAATCAATATCTATAAAGAAATACCCAGATGTTTGTTTGAACCTGGCCCCGGTTCAGTTAAGAAAGTTATTTCCAGAATCAGGGCATTGATTTTTAAGTCACTTTTTCCCCTTTAAGAATCAACTCCTGTGTGTTGAGGGTTCTTGTACTGTACCATAGGGCATTATTTCCCATCACAGGTAAGCTTACCCCATCATCCAAATTTATTAACAAATTACCATGTTATCTCCTTAGGCTGTTCCATTATTGGGCTCTCTGGTGCTGTGACAGTTTTCACAATGCGATACATACGTTTACAGACATCAATATTTGAGGATAGTTTATGCGACTGAAGGCGGATATGTCTTGCTTCTGGGCTTTTTGTTGGTTAAGCTGGACTTTCCTTAGCTTCTCTACTATTCACACCGTGTCTTGTACTCTGCAAGCGTTATCTACTACATCAATGTCAGACCGTATTGTCTTGTATGAGGGCGTACTTACCTATGACAACGCAGACCGTCCAAACGACAGAGTCGTGGTCTTTCCATTCGCTGACGGATGCGACCAGTCGTTTTGTGAGAAATTCAACGCAGATGTGTTGACAACGAATGGGACAACTTCGATATTATACAATTCATGTGTATGCCAGTGTAAGGATGGTGTGGTATTCGATGTGAAATCTACAAAATGCCTTAGTAATATTTCAAATAGCGGTAAGTAATTCGCCTTTTATTGGATTGCTTTCATAACAAGGTTGTTTGTGATAAGTGACGACTTTGTGTGCACGCCAAATGTATATCAATTATATATCTTACGACTATACTGTCATTATCATAATATTAATTATTTAAACATGCATTATCATTATTAATATTCGCGTAAAATTAATTCTGATCAGGTAGTATTATGTGCATTGCTGATTACGTTTTACTAATCCACGGAGAATCGCTTCATACGTTTCTGTATACATGCTTTATACTAAGATCATCATTAAATATTTTATTACGAGGGTTTGTACATGTTTTGTTTGAAAATTAGAAATAACTACGTGTGTATCCCATTAACGAAAGACATTATGAAGGCTCCAATTGTCTTGACGTCTGTAATGTAACGTGCTAACGTCCCTAGTTAAATAAAATCATTGTCCGTTTGGTCGATCGAATTTTATTTTAAATTAAAATTCTTGCATTAATAACACCGTTTATTATTAGGAAATTAAAGAAAAACAATAATTGTTTAATTATAACTCTATTAAATCATGCTTTGGTCCAATCGGCAGATATGCACTTTCAAATATCTTGTTGCTCGCTTCATTCCCAAATTAGTTGCGTAACTAAATAACTAGAGAATACAATAAATATCCGTTACTAAGCTTTATCTTATAACTTCATTTAAACACTTCACTGATTAGAATAGTAAATTTAAATTACCGTGTGGTAAAGTTAAATGATATCAATAATCAAGTTATTTTGTAAAATTATATTATTATTATTATTATTTATAAATGAAATAGTATTGCTATTTTATTATCATCATCATTGCCATCGTTATCATCATTATCATCATCATCATCCTCATCATCATCCTTATCATATTTTATTATCTTTGTCGATGTAACAACAGAACACAAATACGAGTGTAAAGCCTATACAATGGCCTGTACGGTCCCAAACCAGGTATGCTTCGGTAGGTCTACTACCACCGTCAATGATGAATGTATCCACGCGCCTCAGGATATTGGTTAAGTAACAATTATTGTTGTGTCTTCTTAATAATGTAATAATAATAATAATAATAATAATAATAATAATAATAATAATAATAAGTGAATATTGAGGAATGGAACCTATTTAAATAGACAATATTAGATTTACATCATATAATTGTTATCTATATTGTTGTTATTTTTTATTGATATGTTTCATCCCCAAGAAAATCAAATGGTCCAATTCAACCAGGGTAGTAATATGCAGTACTAATTAACGAGAGATTGAACATGCAATATGAACAGTGTTGCAATAAGTATTGGTTAACATTAATGAATACCCTGCGGCATAATGAACATAAGGTATATATTCATCTTCTATTTAATACGATGCGTTTTATTATATCTGAAATGTCAAGAGCCATTAGGGAGATTTGGCAACGTTACGAAAACGATAACGAATACGTCATTATCATTATCGTCATTCGTGCCTCAAACATTCTTGACAATGTACGCTATACGAGCTGAGTATGATCCTTGATTCATGCAAAAGGCATGAATCGCCTACGTTGTTACAAATATGCTATTGTAGGGGAAGGGTTGTCTATAAATTTGATGACGTAACCATATTCGTTATCTTCTTCGTAACCTTGCGAAAGCTCCCTAATATCCAAGGCTGAAACGATTGGTATTATAGGTAAGAATGGTACCACCTATACAAACCTATCTTCTATAAGAAAAAAAAAATCATATAATAGCTATCGGTAGATTTCCCGTCGATTTATAATCAGGCGGTACTAGGGAGAGACAACTTGATTTCCTGCTCCACAACAAGACATCCATTCGTAGAAGCCTTTATGAAGAAAGCCTACCTAAAAGTTGCCTAGATTGACCCGAGACCGCTAACTTCGGCGTCGAATAATTAAGATTAATAGAGCACAATGTACACAGTGTTTCTAAGAAAATGTTATATTAGGTATATATTAGTTTATTAATAATTTAGGTTACATTATTTGCTTAAAATTTAAATTAAAATCGTTTTTGTAATTATTAATAAGTACGGTAGTATAAATTTAGTGTATAAGTATAAATTGAAGAAATAGAATGAAGGAAGAAATGGAAAGATAATCGGAGCGGCTCAAATTGTATCGAAAATTATATAATAATGATAATCGCTCATGTTATATATTACGTGTTTGTTGTAAATTTTAGGTTCTAATCATCAGAGGTCAAGGTGCCGTGCATATCACGTTTCATAAGTCGACATCAAACTAATAATGTGAAATGCAGCGATAGATAAAAAAAAGAAAATATGATGATGATGACGATGATGATGATAATGGTAGTAAATATGATAATGGTGATTCTGATGCAGATCATGATGGTGGTGAGAATGACGCTGCTGAATTTGATGATGATGATGATGATTGTGATGATGATGGTGGCTGTGGTGGTTATGATGATAACGATGATGATGTTGAGGATGACAATAATTGTGAAAACGATGTTGTTCATGACGGTGATGGTGTTGATAATAATATTGACTGATTTTTTTTTTTTTTTTTTGTGAAAATGATGAGGATACTGATGACTATGGCGAGGATGATGGTGACGATGTTGATTTTTCATTCATTCTGTTGGTTCAGAAATATCAACATCAGCCATAATATAATATACTTCTCATGATGTGTGTGCGTGTCATTTTTTTTTAAATTAATTTAAATATTTATATTAACTGTAACTTTTTCCTTTTAGAAAAAAAATGACCTTGGTAAAACAATATGACCTTGGTAAGAACAGTACTAGGCCTACTGATAATTACACATTACTCTAGAGTGAAACAATTCATGATTCTTAAGCTACATAATAATGACAGATATTATTTTTTATGATTTACTTTTTTTAACGGTAATCGTTTCAATTTGCGACTCAAGAAAGTCGATATGGGATTACGGAGCAAGAAGTTCAATTGTGGAGTAGTAATGAGAAGCGGGGGCAGTTAGTGTGAATACTTTTTTGCGCCTAAGGTAGATTAATGTGACCATGAATTTCTGCACTCAGTAAATTTGACAATATAACATGCTACAATATAGCATATACAAGATATAGTAGGCTTATTTTCTAGAGGGATGCAAAGTTTGGTTCAATGCTTGCGGTTCAGCATCTCAACCTGGAGGTGGGTGGAGGTGGTTCAATCTATCTATCGTATTTCGATTGTATTGAGCAGGGGTGGCCCCGGGATTTGCCCGACGGGAGGGGGACACGAGGTCCCCGACGGGAGTCCGATGGCCCCTACGAGAGCAAAGTGAGCGTGGTAGGGCGTCGCTCTCAATTTATAGGTATCCCAAAAGTGGTCAAAGGGGCGAAGCCCCCGAAAACTTTGACAATTTGGGTGTTTCAAATGCATATTTAATCGATTTTAGATTCTACTAATAATTATGTACAAAATACATATAGGCCTAATTTTTTTCTCCCCGACGGATTATGGTTTTCCTTCCCAACTGGTTCCCTGGCCCCACGCTGGCGCCACCCCTGTCTTTGAGCAAATCATTAGTACATGGTTGGCTCTCCTCCCTGAGGTTTAAGTGTGTACGTAGGCTCAAATATAAATATTTTGAATATGAATGATGGAAATTTCCCCAGGGAAACTGAGGATGTGTTATTTTTGTCTGATCCCGTGACGGCGGTGGAATAGTGTGAAGCACTTGGAGGTCTCATTGGCATAAAGCGCTACAGATACTATAAGACTAAAATCATCATCATTTATCAGCATCATTATTATTATTATCATCATCATCTTTATTCATTCATCAGCCATGCTCTTTATATCGAAAACAATTTTATAGTATACAACAATATTAAAAATGTAAAGTAAATATATAGATTACTGTTGTTATTATTAATATTATTATTGTTATTATTATTATTATTTTTGATATTATTATAACTTCTACTACTACTACTGCTGCTGCTGCTGCTGCTGCTGCTGCCGCTGCTGCTACTACTACTACTACTACTACTACTACTACTACTACTACTACTACTACTACTACTACTACTACTACTACTACTACTACTACTACTACTTTTGTTGCTGCTTATTGCTGTTGTTAATGTTATTATTATTATCATCATCATTATCACTTTTAATATTTAACTCGATCATTGGAACAGAGTATAAGCAACAGCAGACTGTAGTTGTAGTCCTGGATGTTTGCTGTGGAAGGCAATATAGAGAATAGAATAAGAACAATTCCATTAATTGAGCTCAATCGTAGACTCAGCGCGTCTTAGTTGAATCCGGCGAGACAAAAAAGCAATTATACGTGCATACAATACGCATTATATATTTCAATTTTGACGTCATGTTTAATAGATGGCCTACTTTGGTGAACAGTAAAAACAAAACTTCCATTAATATATAATATATTATATAACTTTCAAGCGAGATTAATTTGCTGATATTCGACATAAAGCCCTACACTCATATATAT